TACTAAGTAGACCAGGCTGACCTTGAACTTGCTTTGTGGCCCGTGTTGGCCTCAGACTTGCAGCCATCTCCCCGCCTCAGCCTCCTTAGTGTTGAAGGCGTGGGCATCAGTCTCTATACCTAGCTCAATGACACAGAGAATGCTGCATGGAGACAGAAATGGGGGTGAGCTGTCTACAAGTCGAGGACCACCTGGAGCCACCAGCCCTCGGAAAAGGCATGGAAGTGTTCTCCACAGCTGGAGAGGTGGTGACAGCTGGCCTACACCTTGACTTTGGGTCACCACAGTCCCCAGCAACTTCACTTTTTCTCTTAGAGGCATCATTTCTAAACGCTAAACCAACTTCAGCATTTGGCTAATTGCTGTCTCCTTGCTCCTGGAATGTAAGTCTCTTTTAGGATTGGGATTTGGGGCTGGAGAGATGGCTCAGCCGTTAAGAGCACTGGCTGCTGCTCCAGAGGACCCAGGTTCAATTCCCAGCACCCACATGGCAGCTCGCCACTGTCTGTGACTCCAGCTCCAGTGAATCTGGCACATTTACACTGACATACATGAGAGCAAAGTACCAATGCACATAAAAATAAATAAAATCTCAAGTCAGGCAGTGGTGGCGCACGCCTTTAATCCCAGCACTCAGGAGGCAGAGACTGGTGGATCTCTGTGAATTCAAGGCCAACCTGGTCTACAGAATGAGTTTCAGGATGGACAGGCTCCAAAGTTACAGGGAAACCCTGTCTTAAACGCCCCCTGATGGAGGAAGGTCATTGGTTAAATAAAAAGAAACTGCTTGGCCCTCACTGGTTAGAAGATAGGTGGGAGGAGTAAACAGAACAGAATGCTGGGAGGAAGAGGAAGTGAGCTCAGACTCCACAGCTCTCCTCTCGGGAGCAGACACCTCAGAGAGACGCCATGCTCCCAGCTCCCAGGCAGACGCACGCGATGAAGCTCCAACCCAGGATGGACATAGGCTAGAATCTTCCCGGTAAGCACACCTAGGGGTGCTACACAGATGATTAGAAATGAGCTAAATTAATATGTGAGAATTAGCCTAGAAGAGGCTAGATAGAAATGGGCCAAGCAGTGATTAAATGAATACAGTTTGTGTGTTGTTATTTCGGGCATAAGCTAGCATGTAGGCAGCCAGGGTGCTGGGGATGCAGCCCTGCCGCCCCTATTTACTATACCCTCCCAAATAATAATAATAATAATCAAACAAACAAATAAATAAATAAATATATTTTTAAAAAGACAGGGATGTCATCTCTTGTCCACTGCTGTCTCCACAGCCCAAACAGCAGAGCAGGTTTTGATACATGTTTATTAATGGATAAATGAGAGACTTTCTCGTATAAGTGCAGTTACTACAGAGACGTGCTATGGAGTGCTCACTTCTGGGTGACCATGTCCACTTTCCCTGTCCCTGTAGGGGGACAAGCTGCTAGAGTTTCCAACTGGAAAGACCTGGAGACTAACCAGTCACTTCCTGACCCCTGTCCTTTTTAGAGCCTCCAGTCCCCTCTGAGCTATCAGGCGGGAATGGGTCATGGGCTCTTCATAGCCTGACCCAGTGCCACAGTGAGACTCTGCAGGCCAGGAACAAGGGCTGAAGACAGTCATCTGTGAGTCATCCCTTCTGCTCAGGGCTGGTACGTCCTAGCGCCCTGCTCAGAGATAGTAGCTGAGGGTGTGTGACAAGCCAAATGGACAGGACATCCTAAAATAAGTCGCTAGTAGGGTCATGTGACTTCCCTAGCAGGGTCATGTGACTGCCTTGGCTCCTTCTTGTCCCATTTCCGTTCTCTGAAGCCCTTTCACCTTCTCCATGTGAAGGGACAGCTCAGCTACTCGGTCCCAGGGCAATGAGAGAGTGGTCTCGGGGGCAGTCATGAGGGCCATTGAAACTCAGAAGTGGGAAGGGTGGCTCAAGGATGTGGCTCAGTTGGCAGAATGCTTGCTTAGCGTGCGGGCAACCACTCTATTAACTACAGCCCCTGACGGAGTGCCAAATGCAGGATCTCACAGCAGCTACACAAGCACACTGACAGGGAACTGTTCCCCTGGCCTTCCCACTGAGATTTGTTTTTACATGTGCAGAGGCCAACCAAACGCCATGGCTGGGGGATACACATAGAAGATTGGCACCAGAAGCCACCATGCTTTGGGTGACTTTTTATGCAGAAGACAATCATCCAAGCAACTGAAGAGTGGGAGCGTTCCTCCTGAACAGAGCTCAAGGTATAGAGCCTGCCTAGGATGCTGGAAGCCCTGCGGTCAGTCTCCAGCCAGCATGACACAGGCCTGGTGGTGTGCGGAAACAGGAAGATCTGACATGTTAGGCCAGCCTGGGCTAACCTGTTTCATATACTCCTTTAATGACGACACTCTGGGAGCAGACACAGGTAGATCTCTGTGAGTTCAAGGTCATCCTTGTCTACAAAGTGAGTTCCAGGTCCACTAAGGACTCACAATCAGACCTTGTCTCAAACAAGCAACAACAAAATAAATGGGGGCTAAAAGAGGTGTCAAATCCCCTGGAGCTGGAGTTACAAGTGGTTGTGAGCCACCATGTGGGAGCTGGAAACTGAACCTGGGTCCTCTGGAAGAGCAGCTAGTGCTCCAAACCACCCCAGCCACCTCTCCAGCCCTGGGGATTATTTTTACTGTGTTAATTGAGATGAGAAGACCCTACCCACTGTGGGTGGCACAATCCCATGGATGAGATCCTGGACTTTGTAAGTGGAGAGAGAACACATGAATTCACTGTTTGCTTCTTCCTGGTTGTGCTTCAAGCACCTGCCACTGAAACATGATTAAATGAAGCATGATTAATAAAAACTCAGGGCCAGAAATTGGGGTTCAACCTGAAGATCTAAAAAGCAAAACAGGCAGCCACTGGCTCTTACCTTGACCTCAGTCTGAAATGGCGATTCTGCCTCCAGGAATCTCAGAATGAGACTGTGTGTTTGAGAACTATCCCCCCCCCCATTTTATACTACTCTCTAGGGCTGGGATTAAAGGTATACACCACCATCATTAAAGGCATGCACCGCCCAGTTTCTATGGCAACTAGTGTGGCTACTGAGATTAAAGGTGTGTGTTACCATAATCTGGTCTGTAAGGCTGACCAGTAGGACTGCTTTACTCTCAGATCTTCAGGCAGTCTTTATTTATTAAAATATAATTGAAATGCCACTACATGCCGCCATGACTTCCCTGTCATGGCACAAACTGAGTGACAAGAATGCTGACTGAAATGACGGAAGAAGCCGTCTCAGAGAGGAGCATGGGCTGGAGGCCATTTGTATAATATTTTATCTAAGATCTGGCTTCATTCTGCCTGTGTTCTGAGAACTTAATGAATCTGGATTTGGGGGATGTGGGCTAATTGTTTCTCAAAGGCAAAGTGTGTGAGAAAGATTAGGGACCCAGCGCTCTGCACTGGGACAGTAGCAGGGGATGCCTTGAGGTTAAAGGCTTCAACTCATGAAAATACAAGATCGCATACAAGGAGAAAGCCTGGGTTGAGACTGGGTCTGAGGGGAGTCTCTGCCCCTCAAAAGCAGCTCTATGTGGCTGTTTCCCTAGGTTCAGAACACAAGAGCTCCTGCAAACTTCCTCCAAGGCTCCCAGACTCCAGCCCAAGCTTGCAGAAAAACCTGATAGTTTTCTCCAAATGTTACTGGTTTTGGAGTCAGAAGCTTCTTTTTTGTTTGTTTTGTTTTGTTTTTTCACGACAGGGTCTCTTTGTGTAGCCCTGGCTGTCCTGGCACTCACTCTGTAGACCAGGCTGGTTTTGAACTCACAGAGATCCACCTGTCTCTCCCTCCTGAGTGCAGGGATTAAAGGCGTATGCCACCACCTCGCGGCAAGTCATGAGCTTCTATCACCTTTCCCCATCTCTGCCGTAATCCACTGCCACTCCTGGTCTTCATCCTTCGTCACCCTGACACACGTTGACACAGATTCTGCAGAAGGGGTGGTGACATTGGTCACACACACACATGGAAGGTGTAGACCCAGGGCCTCTGTTCCTCGGAATCTCATTTCTCATCTGAGGTGGGAGGCTGGTGTGTTAGGGAAGCGTCATTCATGGGTGATCAGATAAGAACACGGGGGAGAGGCCCTTCCCACACCTCTAGTGTCTAGGCACCCTTTCTCTTCCACTCATGGTGGGGGAGGAGACTTTGGCACCTGGAGATGCTCCAGAAAGCAATTCTACATGACCTCATCTCTGGGCCCAGACTCTCAAAATTCTATCCTAATCAGTTCTCCTCATTAAGGGCGGAAAGAGGGCCAGAATTCCAGAAGTTTCTTGTCACGTTTCAGTTTTGAGTCAGTTGATGCTGGAGAGTGAGCATCCTTGACCAGAAAGCTTCACTGGGGTTGGGGGTGGGGTATTAGAGAGTGAGGCGGGTATCTATCAGCGGTGTGTGAGCTGCCTCACGTAGATCCTTCTGGCCCCGTTGAAGAGAGAAAGAGAGTGCGCGTGTGTGCAGCTCACTCGAGGCGATCAGAACCAAGGACAGCTACCAGCCGTCCAGCCTCTGCTTCCAGGCAGGGCAGGTTCTGAGGACACTCTCCCCGGAAGGCTGGTGATGGTGGGTGTTGTCTGGGAGTGTATTCAATGAGTCACCCATAAGCCCCACACTCGCCGCAGGCTGGGGAAGCTGGGGCTCTCCCTGCCATTTCCAATAGGGGTGGGGCAAGATGGCTGTAAAAGGCCCTCAGATTGTTGCAGGAAAGGAGGGAGCAGGAAAACAGGGACGTGCTGGTGTCCCCCGCACACTCCCACCCTAGCCCGGCCCATTTCTATACAAGGCCCGCTCTCCTCAGCCTCCACCCACTACGAATACTCCACACAGGCACAGAGGGGGGAATTCTCAGGCCCTGAGATCAGCAGGCAGGAATGTGGCTGATAAATCAGAGATAACCCCACCCCCACTCTGTGAGAGGGCTGGCTGGACACCCAACCCTGGGGATAAAAGGCAGAGCCACTCGCAGCTGAAGAAGCCAGAATACAATCTGCTTGAGCAGGTGGGACAAGAGAGAGAGAACCAGCCGCTTCTGCAGCAGCCTGGCCTGTCACTTCTGCGGCATGGATCTCCAGAAGGTGCTGTCCAGAATGGTTCTGTTCCTGCTTTTTCTTTATCTGTCACCGCTAGGAGGTCGCTCTCACCCTCTGGGCAGTCCTAGCCAGTCTCCGGAACTAGTCAAAATGCAGGTGAGCACTGAGGGTCTGCATAGACAGGTAGAGTCGGCCTAGAGGGTTTTGGCAGCAGCAACGAAAAGGCCTCCCGTCCTTTGGGAGCTAGATTTGTGAGGCTCGGAAGCAGCAAGATTGGGTAACAGGACCTTTAACCCATGGGCACCATGGAGGAGAGGGAGAGCCAGGTGTGTTTCTGAGGCATGGGTTCCCCATCTCATCACAGACGCTGCTGGACCTGCTGAGGGAAAAGGCACAGGAGATGGCCCAGGGGCAGCTCCGGAAGGACCAAGATCCCACAAAAGCCCCTCCCAAAAGCACCCTTGCATCTCAAGACAGCACCCTCCAGGACCTGCAGAGACTTCGAAACACCAAGAAGATTCATAATTCGGGCTGCTTTGGGCACAAGATAGACCGGATCGGCTCCGTCAGTCGTCTGGGCTGCAATGGTGAGCTTCACTGCAAGCTGCACCCCAGCACCCCCCCCCACCCCCCCCATCCGCATGCACGCCTCCAGCAGAGGCCCCTAGGTTTGCTACCTGGAGTACTTGCACAGCCCTCACTTTGCTGGCAGTTTTCAGAACCAAGGCAGCCTGTCAGGAAATGTCACATGGGAGTTTCATAACGTCCTCCCAGGTGACCACCTTCCATCCCAGGGGTCAGACGCTCCTCAGGTGCAGACTGCCTGTTGGTTGACCACCCCTTCACAGGGCGAAAGGAGTTCTGAGCATTTCCCCTAGCTCCCACCCCCCTTTCTCCGAACTGAACTGTCAACGGCAAAGAGCACAATCGACCTCCTTCACAGTAGAAACTGAGTCCCAGTGAGGTAGCTTTTTTCCACAGCCGTAATTGTCGACACCCTCTGGGGACTGCAGGTGGAGGTGGTGTGTGGCAGGGGAAGCTCAGCCTCTGCCTCAGTTTCACTCCCATGCCTGACATGGCCTGTCTCTCCTCTTCTCTCCACAGTGCTGAAGCGGTATTAGGAAGACTCCCGGCTGCAGATACCTGCTTTCTGACTCCACCTGGGGCTCTTCCCCCAACTCTGGGACCCCTTTTTGAAGTGATCCTATTTATTTATTTATTTTTATTTATTTTTGGTTGTTTTCTACAAGACTGTTTCTTACCTTTGAGCACAAGCTTTCCATGGCGCAATAAACACAGCATTTCTTGCTTTTGAAAAAGATTTGTCTCTCCGCGTTTTAGTCTCTCGTCCTTTTTAGTTTGTGGGGTTTTTTTTTTTGTGGTTTGTATGTTTGTTCATCCATTTGTTCGTTTTGACATGGGGTCTCTCTACAAAGACCTGGCTCTCCTGGAGCTCACTCTGTAGACCAGACTAGACCTGAACTCACAGAGATCTGCCTGTCTCTGCCTCCCGAGTGCTGGGATTAAAGTCGTGCACCACCAGGCCTGACTCCAGTCTCTCATCTTAACAAGAAAAGAAACAAACCCCCCAAAATATGCATTTTCTGCAAGGTCCCAGGGTATCTTAACGGCAGGCTGAGAACACAACTCAGGGGGCTGGGCCAGGGAGATGTCCGGGCTTCCCGCTTCTTCCCGGTTTTTACCATTGTGAGATATCAATCCACACCAGAAACCCTTGACTTTTCGCAGAATCTGTTTCTCAAAGTGTGTGTTTGATTCCTGGGCACAGACCAATGGGAGGACAGGCATCACAGTGCTTGCCCCCCTCCCTTGCCTGGAATTCCTTCATCAAACACTCTGACACGTCACTGTTCTTTCTAGAAAACCCAACAAAGATGTCAGAGTTGAGGGTTGTATGTGTGTGTACATACATGTGTGTGCTCAAGGGCTCTTATGTTTGTGTATCTGTGTGCATGTGTGTGTGTACATGCATGAATACATGCATGTATGTGTACAAATGTGTGTGATGCTAGCTCACAGCCTTCCTGATGGGAGTGAACCCTCCATCCTACCCTAAATCTCAGCATCAAACCTCCAGTTCCTGATGATGTCATCTGAGAAAAGAGCTTTCTAAGTCTGAACCCAAAGGTCCAGGGGCCTGACGGGGGCCCAGCCTTTTGGATGCTCCTCTCCTGAAGTCACACTGTCTCTTCTCTGTCACCCTAGAGAGAGGAGCCGACCCTCAGAATTCTAATGTGTGAACTGGGTTGAAGTTGTGCCCTGGCTGGCACATGCTAGTAATCCCAGCGCTTGGGAGGCAGAGAAAGGAGGGACCAGGGGTTCAAGGTGATCCTCAGCTACATAGTGAGTTTGAAGCTAGGCTGGGATACATGAGATCCTGTCTCAATTCCTCCCCTCACCCCAAAGAATCCTAGTGTGTGGTCTTACTTGGCAGGGGCAATGCTATAATAAGTGAACATTTGTGTGCAGGTTTTATTTGGAGATCCACCTGCCCTGTTCCCTTGGTACTGGGATTAAAAGCACGCACACTGTGCCCCCAGCTCCTCCCAAACCTTCTCTTCCTCTTCTTTTTGTCAGTTCTCACAATCCTCCTCCCCATACTCCTGGAGCTGAGGACTGAACCCAGGCGGGCCCCTTTTACCCCTGAGCTAAATCCCCAACCCCATCCTCCTCTTCTTTTTAGGTTACCTTTTTTTTTAATATTTTTTACAGTTTATTTAACTTTATTTTATGTGCATTGGTGTGAAGGTGTCAGATCCCCTGCAACTGGATCTTCAGACAGTTGTGAGCTGCCATGTGGGTGCTGGGAATTGAACCCGGGTCCTCTGGAAGAGCAGTCAGTGCTCTTAACCACTGAGCCATCTCTCCAGCCCCTAGGTTACCTTTTTTTATTGGAGTGGGAGAGGTGCAAGCTACGCATGCGCCATAGCGTGTGTGTAGAGGTCAAAGGACAACATGCAAGAGTTGGTGCTCTCCTTCCACAAGTGGGCTCCAGGCTTCTAACGCAGGTCCTCAGTCTGGCGGGCAGGCATCTCCACCTGCTGGCCTCGGTGTCATCTTTTCTATGTGTCCTGTGTCTCCATCGTATGTACTGGAACCTTGTCCTTTGAATGCCACCTATCATCTGAGCCCAGCTAAGGGTCAAAGGTCCTTGTGGCCAGTATTGTCAAGATTGTCATCACCCCACCCCCATTTTCCGGGTGAGAAAACTGAGACTCAGAAAAGCCAGGTGCTTTGAGACATGAGGGGACAGCTGCATTGTTGCCACATCTGCCTGGCCTTCAGCAGAGCTCTGGAGATTGGGGTGACAGAGGGCTGAGAGGTGGCTTTTTGTGCAATCTCTTGCTTTGATCCTGCAAGCACTCAAGGCTATGTATGTCTAATGAGAGCAGTTAGGATTTTTTTATAGTGAGGTTTTTGAGTAACTTATTTTCCAAGAATCCATGAGTCACCACCGTCTTCTAAAGTTTGAGATGCAGAGAGACAGCAACTAGTTGGAACAGTTGGTGTGGATAAAGGCCTCGTTAACAAGGCATGCACAGTTCCATCCACTGGGACAGTCTTCATGACTCTGAGAAGAAGCTGGGCGCCCCTCCTCTGGCAGGCAGGGAAACCAAGGCACAGAGAGGTTGTGCGATTTGCTCCAGGGTCATGAAGATAGAGAGCAGCGGAGTCAGTTTCTGACCCAGGCTCTAACCACTGCCTGAGCACTCTTTTCCAAGCCAGGGACCTCAGCTTGCTGGCAGGATGGATGCACCCACCCACCTATCCACCCATATTCAAGGCATCCTACAGATCCACATTCTGGCCTTTGCCTGCTGGCAGCCTAATCCCCTGCTCACCCATTCTAGAGTCTTCACTCCTCAACACAATGGGGACTTCTGAGTGTCTCCAGGAAACTGGGCCCATCTGTGAACAGGAGTCAGTTGGTTGGGTGTGGGTCATGCTCTCTTTTCCCAAGCAAAGGTCCTGGAAAAGGGCCCCCAGAAGGACATGTCGCTGAGCTCGCAGGAGGACAATGCTAATACTAAGCACTGCAATGCGCATCTCCTGGCTGGGGTGAGGCTCAGCCACTGAGTGCTTGCCTTGCAGGGGTTTAACTTGCATGCCCAGCACTCCCCTCTCTCCTGCTAATAACACAAAATACATTTTAAAAAAATTTTTAGAAAGAGCCCGGCAGTGGTGGCACATGCCTTTAATCAATTCCAACATTCAGAAGGCAGAGGCAGGTGGCCTAAATTTCAGGCCAGCTTGATTTACAGAGGGAATTCAAGGACAGCTAGGGCTACACAGAGAAACCCTGTCCAAAAAAAAAAAAAACAAAAACCAAATGATAATAATAATAGAAGTCAGAGAGAGGCCGAAGAGATAGCTCAGGTGGTAAAGTGTCTGTCATATTGCATAAGGACCTGAGTTTGGATCCTCAGCATCCACACAAAAGCTGGACTTGGAAGCATGTGTCTGTAGTTCCAACTCTGGAGGGCAGAAACAGGAGGGCTCATTTCTGTCCAGCCTAGCTCCAGGTTCAGTGGGAAACTGTCTCAAAAACTACAGGAGACAGCACTCAAGGAAGGTACCTAACATTTACCTCTGGGCTTCACGTACGTGCACATAAATGCCAACACACCAGCACATGCACAAACATGTCCACATACACGCACCACACACTCATAAAAATAATAAGCAAAGCCAGGCGGTGGTGGCGCTCGCCTTTAATCCCAGCACTCAAGAGGCAGAGGCAGGCGGATCTTTGTGAGTTAGAGGCCAGCCTCGTCTACAAGAGCTAGTTCCAGGACAGGCTCCAAAGCTACAGAGAAACCCTGTCTCGAAAAACAAAAATGAAAACAAAAGAAAAAAAATGCAAGCAAATAATTGGAGCAGGGCCTGGGAATGTAGCTCTTGCTGAAATGCTTGCCTAGTGGGCAGAAACCGAGTTCAATCCGGGGTGCCCCGTAAGCCTTGTTTGCTACATTTGCCTATAATTCCAGAACTCGGGAGGTGGAGGGTCAGAAGTTCTAGGCCTTCCGCAGTTACACAGCAAGGATGCTAGTTAGGATTTTTTGTCAGCTTGACATTGGTTTTCTGGGAAGAAGGACCTCAGCTGTGGAGATGCCTCCATCAGATTGGCTTACAGGCAAATCTGTGGAGCATTTATTTTCTTGATTATTAATTGATGTGGGAGGGCCTACCTCACTGAGGGCAGTGCCAGCCCTGGGCAAGGTCCTGGGTGCTGTAGGAAAGCAGACTGCACAAGCCATAGGGAACAAGCCAGTAAGCAGCATTTCTTCATGGTCTCAGTTCCTGCCTCCTTGCTTAAGTTCTTGCTTTGGCTTCCCTCAAAGATGGGCTATGATTGGCATGGGATGTGGAGGCCAAATAAACTCTTCCCTCTCCAAGTTGCTTTGGACATAGTGTTTTATTGTAGCAGTAGAAAGCAAACTAAGACAACAAGTTCAAGGCCAGCTGAAAGTCCTGACCCTTCCTCAAAAATGAATAATAAAAAAAGAACACGCAGATAAAAAGCTTCCTAATCAGGGACACACTGAAATTACATACATGCACATGGGCACACACACACACACCACACGTACACAATATGCATGCACACACACACAAACACACAGGCACACACAGGCACATATACAGGCACACACACACACACCCTGTGCATGTGCGCAAGCACACACATACCACGCACACACACACACAAAGAAGCATACTTACACACACCCCACATACATCACACATACATACACACACAGAGGTGTGTATGTACACACAAACACACACAGGCATGCACACAGGCATGCACACGAGTGCACACACACACACACACACACAGGCACACACACACACACACACACACACACCTCCAGCCTTCCTGATGCTTTTTTTTTTTTTAGTTTTTCGAGACAGGGTCTCTCTGTAACTTTGAAGCCTGTCCTGGAACTAGCTCTTGTAGACCAGGCTGGTCTCAAACTCACTAAGATCTGCCTGCCTCTGCCTCCTGAGTGTTGAGATTAAAGGCGTGCACCACCACTGCCTGACTTCCTGATGCTTCTTCTTGAAGACTCACCAGCCCTCAGTTTCCCTGGCTGGTTTCCATCAACCTGTTCCCTTCAAAAAGCCACCATGCTCTCCGTTTCCACAAAAACTCATCATTCAAATCTTTCTAGAAAAGCATTGTCTGTGGAACAGAGCAGAGGAGGCTCAGCCCACAGCTTCGGAGCTAATGACCCCTTAGAGAACGGGGAGGGCAGGCCAGCTCTGCCCAGCCTTGGGTGTTAAAGGT